TTTTAGTGAAGATCGCTCAGTTTCAATCCAACGGCCTCTGGCCCATTCATCCATATCCACCGGCCTTTGGCCCATTCATTCATGTCAAACGGCCTCGGGCCTAGTTTCACTCTTGTTGAATGGCCTTTGGCCCAATCATTCATATCAAATGATGTCCGACGGCCTTTGGCCCAATCATTCATATCAAACGATGTCCGACGGCCTTTGGCCCAATCATTCATGTCAAACGGTGTCCGACGGCCTTTGGCCTAATCATTCATGTCAAACGGCCTTTGGCCCAATCATTCATATCAAACGGTGTCCGACGGCCTTTGGCCTAATCATTCATGTCAAACGGCCTTTGGCCCAATCATTCATATCAAATGGTGTCCGACGGCCTTTGGCCCAATCATTCATGTCAAACAGCCTTTGGCCCAATCCTTCATATCAAACGGCCTTTGGCCCAATCATTCATGTCAAACGGCCTTTGGCCCAATCATTCATATCAAACGATGTCCGACGGCGTTTGGCCCAATCATTCATGTCAAACGGTGTCCGAAGGCCTTTGGCCTAATCATTTGGCATAACAAATATTTGTCCACAATTCTATTTAACTAACTTATAAGACTGATATGGAAATAAGCAATTGGACAAATAACATACTTCAAATATCTTTACTAAGATATTACTCACTGTGTTATGCCGGTGGATTTACCCTGGAGCTCGACCCTACACATTACATAACACATATGGGTCACAATTGATTCAATCCGTTCTTAATTCATACATCCATTTTAGGCTTCTTTCTTATTCTTTTAATTCATTTATAACACTCAATGCATGCCTAAGAGTACTTAGAAGTGAAAAGGAACGGAAAATGAAACACAGAACACCTTTACAAATTTTCTGAAATAGGGGTCCCCGCTCGAGCGTGGGTTCCGCCGCACAAGCGGACCTCGTGGGTCTGCAAAAATACTGGTTGCCTCATTTTTACGCTCGAGCTGAAGGTCACACTACATGGCTTCCCGCTTGAGCGTGAATATCCCCGCTCAAGCGGACATCAATGTCTGCAAAAGTTCTGGGAGCTTGCATTTCATGCTCGAGCGTGCGATTTCCCCACTCGAGTGGACATGCCAAATTCTGGAATTTCCAGAATTGTTCTTGATGTTCAACTCAACATTCAAAGGCTTTAAACTCATGATTTTGGCTCAAAAACATGGAAACACATTGTATAATATGAGAGTTTTAGAATATGTGACCAAATTGTTCAAATGCATGGTCCTTTTTCCAAAATTATTTTGAGTTCCCTTCATGGGTTCCAAAACACATAAATTCAATTTCATACAAACTCCATATCTTCATCAATCATGCATGCATGTACATTATTGACTCCAATTCTATTTCAATTGGTACAAATTACACTTATAATCATGAAACTCATGAGAATTATGCATGCATGAGAGATTTGATGCTCAATTCTTCTTGTTCAACATGATTCATGCTTGAACATACAAAATTATGACAATTATGCACATGCATGTTCAAACAAGCTCCAAATTCAACAAATTCAATTCAAGTTATGTTCTTGACCATAATTAAACCTCGAATGTACAAAATTACAAACTCAAACTTATGAATCCACTCACCTACGAGCTTCAAACACCCAAATTCTAGCTAATTCTTTGAGTTTAACCTCCAATTCTCAAGCCTTTAGTTCGATCTTTGTAGACACCCCATTTTTGACCGACCTTAAGACTCAGATGTCACTGATTGAGCGCTTGGTGATGTTGCATAATGTGCTTGTTCAGAAGTTTCAGAGTTGCGGCCGTGAGCCCTGCCTCCGGACTTCCGAACCCTTTTCTGTGCCTTGTCTCGGTTTGCGAACCAGACTCGGTTTTCTCTGTTTCTTTTCCTGAGGGGAGGAGAGGTCCGGTAGACCATCTCTCAGTGGCCGTGGGCTGCATTTTGTGGCCGTAGGCCATTTTGCCCATTTCGGAGTCCGGTTTCCGGTTTTTCGGGACCGTTGGCCGTGTGCCTCGGTTCGGGACCGCCTAACCACCTCCGTTTGTTCTAATTTTTGGCATACTTTCTATTTACTCCATTTTGAGGGACACTGGGGCCTGAGAAACCCACTTCGTGGTTGAATGCCATTTTCGATGCTTAACAGCCCATTTTCGGGACCTCGAACTGCGCGTTTTGGTCCCCGAGCATTCGTTTTGCATTGGTTTTCGTTCATTTTTGGCAGGTACCTCTGTTTTATCACTAGAGAGGTCACTGAAGGGTGGGAGGCCAGCAATTGTTGCAGCAACCAGTTATACATCCTCCGACGCCCTCCGGCGCCCGTTTTTCGCACTTCCGGGCTAATGTTGAACCCCTTGGGCCCATTTTCTTGAACTTTGAACCACATACTTGTGATGTACACACATGAGAGGACCCTAAAATTTCATGGCCGGCCATTAATTCAACTTGACCCTTTTGACCCCCTCATTCCGGGCCAATGTTGAACCCCTTGGGGCCATTTTCTTGAACTTTGAACCACATATTTGTGATGTACACACATGAGAGGACCCTAAAAGTTGGTGGCCGGCCTGTAATTCTACCTGACTCTTTTGAACCCCTCTTTCTGAGCTAATGTTGAACCCCTTGGACCCACTTTCTTGGACTTTTAACCACAGGGTTGTGTTGTACACAGGTAGGAGGACACCATCAGTTGGTGGCTGGCCACTAAATCTGATTGACCCTTTTGACCCCTAGCCGGCCGGCTAGGGGGTGTGGCCGGCCGGCCACCTGGAGCAAAAGTAATAGGCCGGCCAAGCTCCTTGCACTGTGCACTTTACAGCTGTGGAGCTTTATCCCCCAGAAAAGATCTTTATCCGGGGGATATTTTGTGGGGGAAAGTTGCTCTCCTTTTCCCCCACCTTTACACCCCCTTTTTGACCCTTATAACCAGCTGATGGCTTCACTTGTGGGGGTTAGAAAAATTGTTCTTCAAGCCTCCATACACAACTCCTTCTTTATCCCTCTCATTTCCTTGAAAATCTCTAAGTCCCTAAGCACCATTTCTTCTACACCACCAAACTCTACCATCACCACTTCATTTCCAGCAAGAAGGAAGGCTCCTCTAAGGCAAAAAGAGCTGCAAATTGGCCCAAGAAGCAACAAAAGCTTTAGTATTCAAGGGTGAGTAACATTTCTTCTCTTTGACCCTTTTTCTTGATCCATTTGTAAGCCCCACTTGCTTTTTTTTTCAAGCTCCGGCCCTAACTGAAAAGGGCCCTCTTTTGAGCTCATCTTCACTTTTCATTAAGGGCTCAACCCTGTTTGAGCCCTCCATGATACACTTGCTTCATTGATCCTCTTATATGTCATAATCTTGCATGCTACTTTTGGCCTGTGAGTAATATGTTTTTGAGCATGTTGTAAACTGATATTAGGCTTATTTTAAGCCCCTCTTCAACATTGAAGAAGGTCTCAACACCATTTGGGACTTCCATTTTGTACTTACCTTTATACTCCTCTTTTCTTCCCCATTCTTGCATGCAATGGCAGCCTACCATGCTTTTGTTTTTGGCCATTTTACAGTTCTGAAAAAGTGCTTATTTTGGTCCATTATTCATGTTTCATTTGGGTCCTTTCATGGTTTGGGACCTCCATATGCCACTTCATGTTATATCTCTCTTTTATTCCCCATTCTTGCATGCAATGGCAGCCTACCATGCTTTTGTTTTTGGCCATTTTACAGTTCTGAAAAAGTGCTTATTTTAGTCCATTATTCATGTTTCATTTGGGTCCTTTCATGGTTTGGGACCTCCATATGCCACTTCATGTTATATCTCTCTTTTATTCCCGACACCCCATTTTTGACCGACCTTAAGACTCAGACATCACCGATTGAGCGCTCGGTGACGCTGCATATTGTGCTCGTTCAGAAGTTTCAGAGTCGCGGCCGTGAACCCTGCCTCCGGACTTCCGAACCTGTTTGTATACTGATTTTGGGGCTTCCATATACTGTAAATATTCATATTTTTGGTCCCTCTTCAGTGTTGTAGAAGGGAATTTTTCATTTGGATTTTGCTTATATCACTTGCTTCATTACCCCTCTTTTGGCCCCTATTCTTGCATGCCATTTTTGCCATACCTATGTTTGCTGTTTGGCAATGTTTATAACTGTGAAAGTGCCTTTTTTGGGACTGTCTAGCTTCTGTCTTTGCATTGCATGTCCATATTGTGCATGTTTGGCATAGCTATAGGCCATTTCGGGTGCCTAAATTCGCATTTCGGGACAATTCCATGCATTTGGTGTCATTTCGCCTCATTTCGGGACTGTTTTCCCCCATATTTTAGTGTTGAAATTACATTAGAATGTTTGCATGCCATTTTCATATCATTGCATCGCATTCTGCCGTTGCCTCGGTTTGCGTGCCCGTGTGCACGCATTTCGAGGCACTCCATTTTCATCCATCGGCATCCTATGTGAGTGTGGCTGAGGCTCACTCATGTTGGTATAAGCCCATATCATGTTTCTATGTCATTTGCATTGCGTATGTCATTGCCTCGGTTTGCGTGCCCGTGTGCACGCATTTCGAGGCACTCCATTTTTCAGCCATTGGCATCCTATGTGAGTGTGGCTGAGGCTCACTCATGTTGGTATAAGCCCATGTCACATTTTCTATGTCATTACATCGCATTCTGTCATTGCCTCGGTTTGCGTGCCCGTGTGCACGCATTTCGAGGCACTCTATTTTTCAGCCATCGGCATCCTATGTGAGTGTGGCTGAGGCTCACTCATGTTGGTATAAGCCCATATCATGTTTTCATGTCATTTACATTGCGTATACCATCGTATCGGTTTACGTGCTAGTGTGCACGCACTTCGAGGCATCTCATTCTCGTAGCATTGTGCATACTAGGTTATATCTTAGATTGCATTCTGTCATTTTCTCAGTTTGCGTGCCCGTGTGCACGCATTTCGTGGTGGCGGTAGAGAACGGGGGTTTGAGAGGAAGACGACGTCGTTGCAGAGGTTGTCGAGTGGGAGTAGTTATGGTGGTGGTGCGGCGGCTGAGGTGGTGGTTGGTGGTGGCGGTAGAGAACGGGGGTTTGAGAGGAAGACGACGTCGTTGCAGAGGTTGTCGAGTGGGAGTAGTTATGGTGGTGGTGCGGCGGCTGAGGTGGTGGTTGGTGGTGGCGGTAGAGAACGGGGGTTTGAGAGGAAGACGACGTCGTTGCAGAGGTTGTCGAGTGGGAGTAGCTATGCTGGGAGTCTGTTTTCGGGGACGACATTGGATGGGAATTTGTCGAGCGGTGGTGTGAAGTATTCTCAGTTCTCGACAACAAGGGAGGAAGAGGAGGAGGAAGAGAGTAGAGAGAGTTTGGCTAGTAAGTCTCGAGAAAGCTATTATTTACAGCTCACATTAGCTAAACGCCTCTCCGAGCAAGCGTCGCTTGCCAGTGACCCCCTCCTCTTTCAACTGTGTGGGGCGGATAGTCTCATTGTATCTCCTGATGCAGAAACTGTTTCGTATAGACTCTGGGTACAATATCTATCCATTTTTCAAACTTAATTATGTGCTAATCTATTAAAATTAACAATATCTATTCATTTTTCAACCTTAATGGTGTGCTAGTCTATTAGAATATCATGATTTTCCATAGTCAGGGGCAAATCCAAGATTATCAGTATGAAATGGGATGCGAAAGTATGTTTAGAGTTCCTAATCCTTATAAATTTTAATTATTTTAAAAATTTTAGTATAATATACAATACGTTTTAAATTTTTGGGGTGCAGTCACCCCCTCCACACACCCCCTAGATCCATCCTTGATTGTAGTTGAAGCTAAGCTTGGGCATCGCTGGCCAAAAATTTGGTTTATGGGTCATTTTAGTTAAGGAGTATGCTGTTTACTTGCATTTATCTTTGCCTAATCAATAAATGCTCCACTTTTCAGGTTAATGGTTGCTTGTCATATACTGATAAGATCTCAGATGGATTCTACAACATTTTGGGAATGAATCCGTATCTGTGGGTGATGTGCAATGACTTGGAGGAAGGTAAACGGATACCATCTCTGATGGCACTTAAAGCTGTTGAACCCAGTGATGCATCAATGGAGGTTGTTATTGTTGATAGATATGGCGACACTCGTCTTAAGGAGCTAGAAGATAAAGCACAGGAACTGTATTTTGCAACAGAAAATACCTTGGTGTTGGTGGAAAAGCTAGGCAAACTTGTTGCTATATATATGGGGTAAGTGTCAACATTTTTCTTAGGTTTACTGCTTGAGCCTTTGTCTCTTTCCTTGTAAAGACGGGTTTGAGTGTGTTGGAATTTAAGGGGCACTTTTCCAGTGGAGCAAGGTGATCTGCACGTGCGCTGGAAATTGGTTAGCCAGAGATTGAGGGATTTTCAGAAATGCATTGTGCTTCCCATTGGCAGCCTCTCTACAGGACTGTGTAGGCATCGCGCTATTCTTTTCAAGGTGATGACATACACTATACATCTTTTTCATTTAGGAGAGGGAAAATAAAAATAAAAAAACCTGGATTTCTCTTTCTCCATGTTAAATTATTTTTGGTAGGACCAAGTTTAGAATACAAGATGTATAACTTTGTATTCTTATTCTTTCCATTATATATCTTTGTTTGATTCACAGTTCATTTTGTTTGATTCGTATTTTATGAAACTAACCCTTATTATTTATAATTGGAAGGATAATTCCATCCATCTTGTGTAGATCTGCTCTTCTAAATACTTTTTAATGTCGAGATAGTGCAGCAGAATGACATATGCTATTCTTCACATTGAAATTAATAGAACTTCAAAAGAAGGTGAAGCAGATAGAATTTATTTATTTATAAAGGAGGTGTTATCATGTCATTTACATGTCCTTTGTTTATATCCATCCTTCTTAGACAAAGGAGGTGTTATTTTTTAAGAAAAATCAAATAGAAGATCTTGAAACAGAAAAATCACTACCATCTGAACCCCATCATTTGTGGAAAAGGAATTGAAACAAGACAAATTGAAACTTGAGGAGAATGAAATTGATAAGCATTCTTGGTGTTAGATATATATATTATTATTTTATATTTATCTATCTATATTGTAGATGTATCTCATCTCATTTTCTATACCTATCTCTGATGTATCTCTATTTTCTTTTCTACACTTATCTAGGTTTCTTCTTAGCATATAAATACAGGCTTCTTGTATTTTATTATACAATTCAATATACAATCTCTTTACTTTCATAACATGGTATCAGAGCCTAGGGTTCTTTCCTAGCATTTTTTTCCCACTCGTTTTGTTTTTTTTTTCTTTTTTTTCTTTTTAGCAGATTATTTCTGTCCTCTATTAATTTATGCTGGTTTCTGCGTATCTAGTCCATGCTTGTTTCGCGTTTGGACAATACCCACCTCTTCGTCTCTTTAAGACGAATCCAACGCCACCAAATTCACCTCCATTGGAGTTCGTATGCGCCCTTACGTGCCTCCCAAAGACCAGCGCGTCGGTTGACACCACCTCCACTCTCAGCACGCTCCTGCACGAGCCATCTTAGCCGGCTTCCCTCAGCTTGCCCATCGGCTTCCGCATCAACTGTCCTCGATTTCTGCCCCAGCGCCTCAGCCGCTCTGCCGTCGGCTTGTCCATCGGCTTCCGCATCAGTCGACCTCAGCTTCCGCCTCAGCCGTATCCCCTTGGCTTCCGGTCAGCTTCTCTCAACCGTTTTCCTTGTTTCTCAACCGCTGACATCAGCCCTCCTCAGCCACTGACGTTAGCCTTACTCCATTATTGCCTCGCTACTAACATCATCACAGCCGCAGTGCTGACATCCGTCCTACCTATCCCTAAGGTTTCTCAGCATTCTGAATCTGTTGGTGACCTCCATTTTGGTATTTATGGATCGTACAGGGAACATCCAATTTCTTTCTACTATCCTTGAGGGGTCCAATGATGTTAGTTGGGCTCAAGCTCTCTTTAGTTCCATCAAAGGCAAATGCCTTTGGCGGATCATTATTGGTACTCTTCCCAAACCCAACCAGAAAGAGGATGAGACGGACTCTGCCTTCGATGACCGTATTGACGAATGGGAAAGTAAGAATTATCAAATTATCACATGGTTCCGGGCTACCTCAGTTCCTTCCATCCACCTTCAATTTGGATGCTTTCAGGATGATAACTCACTTGCCTCTCCTGCTAAAGCAATTTGGGATTTCTTGAAGGAACGTTATCAGACCACTGGACATGCTCATCAGTATCAACTGTTGCAGACTCTTCATCACACGCGCCAGGCACCCAGTCAATCTCTCAATGACTTCCTATCCCAAATGTCGTCTGTTTGGGACCAGCTCACTCTTTTCTGAACCTCCATGGGCTCATTTTGATGATGCACAACTATTTATTACTTATTAGAATCATCACCGACTATTACAATTTTTTATGGCTCTTCATAGCACTTTTGAGCTCGTGCGTGCTTCTTTGCTCCATCATTTGCCCATGCCCCCTTTAGAGCAAGCCATTACTGAGCTCCTATCAGAGAAGACTCGTTTTGGGAGTCTCAAATCTCAAGACATGGATTCTGTTCTTGCTACACCATCTTCTCAAAGTTCTTCATCTTCACAGCCAATCATATGGAATTATTGTCACAACCGAGGCCTGCTAGCCAATCATTCTCTTGTTCACTACCAGGTTCACGACTACTTGACTTGTCACAAGACTGCTCTAGGGCATCTCCAAAGCAATTGTCCTCGAGCTCCCTCCACTACTTCATCTAAGAAGGGGGCTTCTCGTTCTTGGTCTTAGTCCAAATCTGGCCAAGGTTCTCGCTCTGTTGCTGTTGCCTCTAAGGGTTCTTCTACTCCTTCCTTCTCTATGGATGATGTTGAGTCCATTATCCACCAGGTGCTCAACAAATCTGGTACTCCTCCCTCTACTGCTCTTTCAGTAACCTTAGGTAACTCTTCATGGTATTTTGATTTCGTATACTGTAATCACATGACTTCTGACTCCACTCTCTTTTCTTCTTTGTCATCATCCTCTTCTGCTCCCACTATATACACTGTTGATGGTTCTCATATACCTGTTAGTCATATTGGCCAAATCTTTACTTCCACTGTGTCTCTTTCTGATGCTTACCATATTTCTTCTCTTAAAATGAACCTTATCTCTGTTGGTCAGTTATGTGAACTTGGTCTAACTATTACCTTCTCTGCTAATGGTTGTTTGGTGCAGGACCTGCAAACGAGACAGATCCTTGGGATAGGCCGTAAGCATGGACGTCTGTTCGAGCTTATCCATTTTTGCAGTCCGCACAAATCATACATTGTTGTTGCTGCATCTATTATGTCTTCTTTTCATCTTTGGCAGTGTCACTTAGGACATGTCTCTTTTAGTCGTTTGAAAGATTTTCAAGTGGTCAGTTAGGTTGTGTCCGTCTTGAAGATGTCGATTGTTTATCTTGTCAAATTGCTAAACAACTTGCCTTACCTTTTAATAAAAGTTTTTCTATTTCTACTACTCCTTTTGATCTTGTGCATTCAGATATTTGGGGACCTTCCCCCATACCTACCATGGGGGTTCTAGATATTTTGTGATTTTTGTTAATGATTTTTCTCGCTATACTTGGTTTTTTCTTCTCAAAAATCACTTTGAACTTAAACAGATTTTCTATGATTTCTCTGCTATGGTCCACACTTAGTTTTCTCGTACTATTAGGCTTTTTCGTTCTAATAATGCTAAGGAGTACTTGGATTCTGATTTTCTTTCTTTTCTTTGGGCTCATGGTACTCTTTCTCATCGATATTGTGCAGGCACTTCCCAACAAAATAGACGAGCCAAAAGAAAGCACTGTCATATTCTAGACACTACTCAGGCTCTTCTCCTCTCTTCTTCTTGTCCTTGAAAAATTTTGGGGGAAGCTGCCCTCACTGCCATCCACACCATCAATTGAGTCCCTACATCTGTAATAGCTAACACTTCTCCTTACGAGCGCTTGTATGGTTCCCTTCCTGATTATACCACTTTTAAAGTTTTTGGTTCTGCTTGTTTTGTTCTCCTTCAACCTCATGAACACACTAAACTAGAACCTTGTTCTCGTCTTTGTTGTTTTCTGGGGTATGATATAGAACATAAAGGGTATTGTTGTTGGGATCCTATCTCCAAGCGTCTTCGTATTTCCCGTCATGTGGTATTTTGGGAACACAAAATGTTCTCCACTATATCTAAGTTTCATTTGTCCACTCTTCTCACTGCACCATTCTTTATAGATCCTTCTCTTCTGTTTGATGAGCTTAATAAAGGCACTACTTTTGACATGATGACTTCTGCCCATTCTGAGGATTCTGTTCCGCCTCCTGGTCCTGCTAATGCTCCACTTCCTAAGCCTATTTCTACTCCTGCTCCTGCTCTTGCTCTACCTCCTAGTCCTATCACCATTCTTTCTCACAGTAAGCCTCGTGTATCCCTTGATTCCACTTAATCATCTTCACATCCTATGGCACCTCCGCGTTAGTCTACTTGGGTAACACAACCTTTTATCATTCTTCATGATTTCATTGTTTGTACTATTGCTTTTTTCTCTCATGAACCTATTTCCTATCAAGAGGCTTGTTCTAACCCTCTTTGGCAACAACCTATGACTGATGAACTACAGGCTTTTGCTAATACGTCACTTTGTCTTAAGCCAACTCAACCTCTCTTGTTGACGTTATCTGATATCAATCTTACATGTGGTACGCACGCCTCTACCGCTATTGTGCGCCGCCTTTCTCTCCTGCTAACGTGCATCACGCGCTTCTTCTGCTATCGTACACCGCACATTGATGCTAGCCATAGCTGTTGTACTTGGTCATCTATTGGCCTATTTTTTTTTTTTTTTTAATCATTCAAAGAAAAAAAAAAAACCTTTTTGATGA